AAAAATGTTTAAGAAATTGTGATGATCTTTTCACTTCGATCTTAATTGAATTTCAATATGGGCAATTTATTTGTTAAAATATGTTGAGTTTTACAACTAAAGTGAAGATTACATCCAAGATTCAGGGAGGTCAAAACCCTTGGAAGTTGGGTGCAAATAAATAGGGAAATAATATTATCAGGCGTAGAATTGGAGATTTTAGAGTGACAGACTAAAATCCCCAATTTGGTCCTATCGTTTGGGTGCTGAAGTGCAGGTGTTAGCCCTCATGTGAGGGGAACGTGGGAGCTCCGAAGTGAGAGCTGGTATCCTCCCAGCCTAGCCGCAGATTCAGTAAACAAGCGTAGAATTAGTCAATGTTCTTTATGCCTGGACCAAAGGGTAAAGAATATGTATGCTTCTATTTGACACAATCTAAATGGAACTACTAATTCACTCTATTCATTCACTATAATTTCTTGACAAGGAGAAGGATGTTTTCTTATATATTGAATATCACAATTAAACCCTCCTTAGTATCATTAGTTATTTAATAATTATTAAAATTATCTATTTATTTCAATTGCCTATTAGTGACAGATAAGCAAATTGAACTTCGTTGTTGTGATTAAAGTATTACTTTTATAAAATCTTAGTCCGTAGTTCTAACCACTCCCTGTGGGATCGATATCTAGGACTTCATTAGAGCCCTATATTATATGAGCCATACGTATATTTGCGTTGATAAGTGTGACTTTACAATTATTGAATATTTATTACGTCCATATTTATCTTGTATTTTAAGCATATAAAAAGTCACTGTCAGCTCACCATTTCTAGCACATGCAAAAATGGCAAGTTTAAATAAGTTTAAGTCATACATGAACTGCTAACTTTGGACCCCTCGTTCTAGGGTTGTTTTGGCTATTTCAGGCTTCTGGTTTCTCACTTCCAGCATCTCATTCTAGAAACGGGTGATGTAGGCCTATAAGCTCTTGTTTTCTCCTTGTCTGTGGTTGAGCAAGGTGTTTGAGTCCTTGGTTTATGTATGTTTGAGAAGTGCGAAATGAAGAGCCCTTTGAACTCGTAATAACTCGAGATGGTTTTGACAACTTTTATGAAAGAGTTATTGAAGATGTTTTTCCCCCTCCAATTTGGATACTCATGTGAAGCACATTTTAATCCTTAATTAGTAGAACTCAACTTTAAGAATTAAAAAATTGTCATTTACATAATGATGCACCATAAAAGTTCCATCATACGATATGAATCTCATAAAAAAAATTTGAGGTCATTTTTTGAACAAGAAACATTCAAACTTCAATTAGAAGCAATCCAAATCTCCGATTTCAGCAATCTTACAGTAAAAATGACTGGCTCGATGAGACAAACTCAATGGTATCAAAACTAGTCAAATCTGAACCAAATCAAACCCTGATCAAATAATTAAACCATGTATACAAGTTTTCCAAACGCATTTAAGAGGTCTAATAGATGTCGAATCTGGAGAGTTCATAGTTAAATCGAGCATTTCGGCAAGATGAATGCAATGAGCCAAAGATCGTTCAGTTTCAACATTCTTAAGACACTCAAATGTCCATCAAACGACTTTTGATCGAGAGAAGCTTTATGATGTGTCTGATCAAAGTGATTTATATTTTTGTATGAATTGAATTTAGAACTCTATCAACGGAGTCCCATCCCTCTCATGAGGGAGGATGAGACCTTGAAGCTTGAGAAGAAACTTGAAGTTGTGAGAAGAAATTGAAGTCTAGCACCACTCATGTCGTCGCTGACCATCGCCGACCGCCGTCGATAACTGTCAATTGCTGTCGAGCACTCCTGACATCGTCAACTACCGCTGATCACATTCGACCACCATTGATCACTGACAACGACCGTCGACCGCCACTGACCATTGTCGGCCGTCAACATCGTAACTTGGGAAACCTAGTAACCCTTGCCCGCCTGTGGAATAAGTGGTTGCAACTGTAATCTTCTTTTTACAGTGGAACTCTTCAGCTGGGTCACTCCCCATGGTTTTCCCTTTCTGAGTTTTCCACGTAAAAAGTTATAGTGTCATTATTAATTGTTATCTCTTTTTATGAGCGTGTGATAAATCTTCATAACACGTTAAGATGATAATCTACCAGTTTACTGTCGTGAATTTTCTAGCATGCATCACATACATACCATATAATTCTTATATTTATACACATACAACCCCAAAAAATTTATATGTACAAGCACATCAATCAAATCTTTATTATCACTGTCATTATAAAAGTGAAATATATATTTTTATATCTAAGTTCATGACACAAAAATCCTAAAAATGCAAATATCAAATCTTAATTTTTAAGTATGTAAATTCATAACAATTGTGTGCCATGCTGTAAATTTACCAAAAAAAAAAAAAAAAATCATTTTCTTTGCATGTGGATAGGCCGGATCGCCGTAGAACCCTCGCGATTCGCCACCGAAGCGTTCGCCCCTGTTTTCAAATGCGGCCAGTTTTATGAGTCTCCTTCCCCCTAAGTTCTCAGGATAACATTTTCTTCTTCGTCTTCCTTCCTTGAAAATTAGCAGAGCAGGTTCTAAGCCAATCTCGACGGTATAATCCTTACTTATCGCCTTTTTTATAGCTGTTATATTAGCGGTTCGCCTCTTCTCCTTTTTTCTCTTCAAGAAGCAATATAAAGACATTCAACTTCAGCTTCTGTTCCTGGTACGATCATGTTGAGCTTCACAAGGAGGAAGGTTCTCTGCGCAGACTTCATTGCTTCGGCTAAAAATGTAACTTTTCTAAGTAAAACCGGTGAGTTTCTATGTTAATATTATCAAATTTTGATTTTTTTGAAATAAAATTAGTTTGTTTTGAGTTCTCGGTAAAGCTTTTGAGAGGACTCCAATGGCGGCATCTGCGTCAACGAGAAAATTTTCAACTTCGCACAAGGAGGTACCAGCTTCCTACTTTCAGTTTTACGCTAGTGAAATCTGCTAGCTTTTTCTGTTTTGAACAATATGGGTTAATATGAGCTGCTTATGGATGATTATAACACAATTAAAGGCCTTTTTATCTTTTTTTAATCCGCTATTTCAATTTTTATGTTTCTTTTTATTGTCCTTGCACTGTTTTTTATTTTTATTTTTTATAACATAACACATAATTCTTATATATTTACTTATGAAATACCTAAACTTTCATATTTACATTTAGAACACTTTGGTTTGATAAGCCTATGCATGAAAATGTGTTAAATTTTAAAAGCTTATGATAGTAGTGTTTTTGATGTGATATTAAAGATTTGAGTGCCTTGCATGTAATTATTAAATTTAAATACCTGATAATTGTGTGGTTTGTATGTAAACTCTTGGCTGCAGTAGCCATTGAACTTATTGGCATCGGCACAGCTACTTGTTGCCTGAATGGCCATTTGATTTCAGCATTTCACTAACCTTCGACTCATTAATTTCCCCATTCTTGCTCTGTCTTCTATGTTCAAACATGATTGTATATATTCTGATCTTTTTTATAGTGATTAGTTTAAAATATACTCATTAAAATTAAGAGGCATCTACATGCATGCCACCCAATTGCTTTTTCGTATCTAACACCTAAGCCTTGTCTTTTGCATTCATACCCCCCAAATCTTTCATTTCACATAAAAAAAGTCTGTCTTTTTAACTTTTAAAAAGTAAAATACACATTTTCATGCATCTACAAGGTGGTATGCATATAAACATGAAGTTTAGTTGTTAAATATATAAATACATAGAATTGGGGGTGGAATGTATGTAAATATTCCTAAAATTAAATGATTTTATAGGATTATAGTTTAACGAATTCAACAATTAAAGGAGTTAGGAGAATGCCATGAATTTGTTCTCCTTGAGTGATTCATAAAGATAGAATGTGATGATTTAAACATATATAATAATACTAATATAATTAACACGAGACATGCAAAACTTAGAAAAATACTGATCGTGGAGAAGGGAGTTTAAGATAAAAACAAACCTGAGGAATGCTTAGCGCCCATAAAATAATAAATAAGTCTGTCATAGAAAACAGCGAAGAAAACTTAGACATACATTGAGAAAGATAAGTAAGACCACTTCCTTCTAGTAAGAATGATACATTCATATAAAGCAATGTGATAAAAACTTCATTTTTAGAATGGAGAATAAATATTAAAACTATCCTATTTGCAAATTTGAAAGCCAATATGTAAACTTGCATTGCAGTTCTTTGCTCCTTTCACCAGAGGATATATGATTGAGGGTAATATGTATACTTATCTCTTGAAAAACCTTGTGAACCATTCCTTTATTACATAGGTTTGGCTCGCAACTTCACCACGAACAAATTCAATTATTGCAGATGACCGTCCGTGATGCATTGAACTCTGCCCTTGACGAGGAGATGGCCGCTGATCCAAAAGTTTTCTTGATGGGAGAAGAAGTAATGCTTGTATTTCCAATTTGGGTCATTAACATGAATACCACTCAATTTTTTTTTATTTACATATCTAACACCTACACTTGATGTTTTACATTTATACCATCCAGATCTTTCATATCACGTAAAAAATACAACCATTTTAATTTCTAAAAATCAAAATGCACCTTTTCATCCATAGGTAAGGTGGCATGTACATAAAAATTGAAGTTTAGATGTAAAATATGTAAATTCATAGGAATAATGTGGCATGCATGTAAATCTTTCTTTCAATTTATGAATGTTCTGAATTATGTACTACATCATTTTTTATTTAGTTTGTTCTCATGATTGGATTTTGAATTCTACAGGTTGGGGAGTACCAAGGCGCTTACAAGGTCACACTTTACTAATTGGAGACACGTTTTACACGCAATTTTTAATTAGTCTTTCTTCTCCAGTATCTACTTTTCAACCTTTTTTGCAGATTTCAAAGGGATTACTTGATAAATATGGTCCGGAGAGGGTTATTGACACTCCAATTACGGAGGCTAGTTGCTAGATCAATCGAATTGAAGTCGGTTTTCTTTCTTCTAATCAATTATTTTGAAGTTTCTTTTTTTTTGGGTCACACTTGCAGGCGGGCTTCACTGGAATTGGAGTTGGGGCGGCGTACTATGGACTCCGTCCAATAATTGAATTTATGACATTTAACTTCTCTATGCAGGTTTGTTTACTCCACAAGTGAAAAAAAAGCTTTTTTGATGCAATCTATTGAAAACCGTCTTTTATCATATGCATGTTGGTTTTAATATATTCAAGCTCCTAAACTGAAGCCTCATTTCTCATGATGGTCTTTGTCCCAACTATTCTAGGTGCACTCATTGACAAATATTTACAAACATTTAATTTTGATTTACATATGGTCTGTTAGGGGTAGCTGTAGCTTATTGAATAATCTGCTGATAAACTGATTAAAAATAATTTGTTGATAAGCTAGGTGCGGTGGCAAATACAAATTTTTATTTTTTTGGAAAAGCCAGACCACTGCCAGAAAGTTGCCACCGCACCTAGATATCTGTGGTGTGAAAACACTTTTCTCAGTATTTTGAAAACACATAAGCTGTCAAAATGCAGTTTACCCAAACAGACCAGGTGCGTTTTCAAAATGTTACTGCACCAAATAAGCTGTCCCAAACGGACCTTTAATCACCATTACATGTAAACTTAACAAAAGTTTATTAATATAAAAGAAGAAAAATACGAGTAAGATATGATAAGTTCATTAAGCACCAGAAAGAAATGCTAACTTTCATGATCCTATAGCCATGCATTATTTTAAAGGCTCAACAATCTCTACAATCTTATTTTGTTATTTTTAGAAAATATATAAATTCATCAAGAATTTAAAGATAAAAGTTGTGATAGAATCACCATTCGACCTTATGTTTCTGCCTAGGTAACTCCAAGCTTCCGGGTCAGGTTGTGACCGTCTGTTTCCATAGCCATGTTATTCAAATATAAGGAAGTACATCTTAAGATTATTAGAGTCTAATTGCAATATTTCCAACTTCTCAATATTTCCTTTCCTTTTTTTTTTCTTTGTTATTTATATCCTTTGATTTTTTGCAGACCCAACTTAGTGGGATAAAGGCTTGTTGTTGTTGATGTACTTACATCCTTTGATTTTAAATTCCATCTAATATTGTTGCTCTAGGCAATTGATCATATCATCAACTCTGCTGCGAAGTCCAACTATATGTCAGCCGGTCAAATATCTGTTCCTATCGTCTTTCGAGGACCAAATGGTGCTGCTGCTGGAGTCGCTGCTCAACATTCTCAGGTCAGCACAGTCAAATGGCTCGTTTTCCATTCTCTTGAATCATACATTGTTTTGTTTATATAGTCTTTAGAAGGTAACTGTCTGTTGATTTGATTATTCTTTTTCTATATTTCTAACTACTTATGTTATGCACGGTTGTCGCTTTCCATGAATTATTAGTTGTTTAGTCAAACTTCACAATGAAAGGCAATTTTCATGCCCAGACATGATTTTTCGGAGGGACCTTTATTATGTGTTTCTTGAGCATTTTGAACTTGAATGGGAAATTTACATACCTATTACACAGTCCTTATTAATTTACACGTCTCATATTTGCATTGCACTTTTGTGCTTAAAACTATGCATGAAAAGGTGGATTTAATTTTTTAAAAATGGTAATAGTACTATTTTTGATGTGATATTAAAGATTTGAGTGCTTTGTGTGTAAATATGAAAGTTTAGGTGTGAGATATGTAAATACATAAGATTTACGTGCTATGTATATAAAGGCCCCCGAGTTTTAATGAGAATTTTCTCTTGCAATTATCACCATGGATTTGTTACGTTTAATTTTCAACAAGCAAATATATTGAATAGAATTTCGGAGTATTAAAGATGGCAAAACATTCTGCAGTGTTATGCTGCTTGGTATGGATCTTGTCCCGGGTTGAAGGTTTTAAGCCCTTATTCTTCAGAGGATGCTCGAGGCTTACTTAAGTCTGCTATCAGGGACCCTGATCCTGTCATCTTCCTGGAGAATGAAATATTGTTTGTATTTTTCAAACACGGCTAATCATTTGAACTGTGAAGTATAGCACATACTGAGCTGGCTCATTTCCTATCCGTTTTTTTCAGATATGGAGAGTCCTTCCCTGTTTCGGCTGAAGTATTAGATTCTAGCTTCAGTATTCCAATCGGAAAGGCGAAGGTATGATTACAAAATGTTTCAAGTATTCTAGAGGTTCAAGTTTGCCATTTTTGTTTGTGTGCTACTCTAACCTTTTTGTTGACAGATAGAAAGAGAAGGGAAAGATGTATCAATCACAGCTTTCTCTAAGATGGTTGGTTTTTCACTGCAGGTAAGTTGTGAAGTTAAATGATTTTTTGTTACCACAATAGTTTATGTTTGATTTATTAAGTCTATTAAGAGGCTCTCTGTTGCTCACACTATTTCTTCTCTGTGTGATAATACAATTGTATTTACCAAATCCATATTTGATTATCTGGAAGTGGAGGTTATTAAATGATTCAATCTTGATCCAATCTTATCATTTTATCTAATCCGTTTTAGTTGATTAAAGATTTTAGCAGGTGTTTTCTTATATAGGCAGTAATGAAAAAATTATTTCTTTACTCTCCTGAATTTGCTAGATTTCATACTGGTTATAACTTCCTTGATAGTTTGGCATTTCGAAGTTCTCTCCTCTTGGATAGACATGACGACTTTCTATGCCTCCGGTTATTTAGATGCAATGTCTTTTGTTTTTCCTTCTATGATGGCAATCTTTTTGTAATTGCCAGTTCTTCTATTTCTTTCACCACTTGTTATATAATTTTGTCGCTTAAAAAAAATGTAGGAAAGTATAAATCCATATTAGGAAGGAATTTATTTCGTTCTCTCATAATATATTCCAGCAATGATGTTTATTTTTATTTATATATCCTATTTTTATGTTTTTTCCTATTTTGAGGGATTCCTATTTTGTTTCTATTATTATTATATATGCATGTAGTAAAGTGTAATTCATTAGAGTGAATGAGAAATAAATTTTTTTCTTGAATTCTATATAGTATCAAAGCTCTGAGAAACCTATTTGATTGCTTTCGAGGTCACAACTCTATTCTCGAGCTTGCTCCATCTTTACCTCTGAAATCATTGAGGTTGAAAGTGCCAATGCGTCCTCCATGTCTCTAGCAACCACTCAATTCAGCAAAGCTCCGAACCAAGCTTCCTTGTCGCCGTCGATGATGAAATATCTATAGAAATCTCTGACGTTGTCGTTTGAAGCTCACGTATGCATGAATAATTGCTTCGTCTCCTCAATTACACTCGAGGTTACTGCTTCATTTCAGGCTCGTTGTTTGACTCTTTTACACACACTCGAGGTTGCTGCTTCGTCTCTGACTCGTCATTCAGCTCTTCCTCCCAAATAAAACACTCCTTTATGTTTATCTCTTCCACTTGACCAAAACACTCCATTTGAACAAGTCGTGGAACTATTCCCTTTGTTTGCTAAAGCAACGATCGATTCAGCTTGCCCTACCACCCTCTCACGAATCTACGACTTACAATTGACCTGACCATTTCTCGCCCTATGTTGAACTCGTGAAAGTCGTGAACCTCCCTCTAATCCATGTTTGCTCATCCAGCCGAGCAGTAGAACTAAGGTCCCTCTCTTTAGTTCTAGTTCACATCCATCCGACCATTCGAACTAAGGGTCCTCTTTTTGCTTTGAGCAGCAAGTCTTCTCGATTTGGGCTTCACAATCTTATTATGACCAAAAATGGCATGACCTCATGATCTTCTTCCTCTGAAGTTACCTTAAGATTCAAGCTTACGTCTTAGATCCCTACAATACTTAAAAACACCTCTCACATAGTCACAAACCATAAATTGCATGGCCATAATTTTCTTCTATGGTCCAAGTTTATCATCATGTACATCTGTGGCAGAGGGAAAGATTGATGTCTCACAGAAGAAATTTAGCTTAAAAAATGATTGATTCCAAATATTGGGTCTGGAACTGGGGACCACATCGTTATGTCTTGGTTAATGAATTGTATTAGCATGGAAGTTGGAGAAAACTTTCTGCTCTATTGGACAATTAAAGAGATATGAGAGGCTGCATGTGAAACCTACTCCAACACTGAAAACTTCTCAGAATTATTTGAGATTGAGATTAGATCACATGATCTATGACAAGGAGAATTGATTGTTACTAAATATTTCAACACTTTCACATGCTGTTGGCTACAATTGGACATGCACGAGGTTCATTTTTGGAAATTCCTTGTTGACTTTGACTTGTATAGGATCATTACTGAAAAAAAAGTACTATTAAATTCATTCTTGGTCTCAATAAAGACCTAGATGAAGTCGGGGGAAGAATCATGAGAATTGAACCAATTGTTACCACTTGAGGGGCTTTTGCAGTAGTTTGAAGGAAGGATAACAGAAAGGAGTTAATGATACTATGTGTTGAAGGATCAACCTTGTCCACTCAAAATTTCTCTCATAATAACAAGCCTAAGAAAGGATGACCGTGGTGCGATCATTATAAGAAACATGTCCATGTGAAATAACATGTTAAAAATTACATGATAAACTTGCAGATTGAAAGTCATCTAATAGAATATATGATAGGGAGAACCAAGCAATTGCTGGTGTCATAACTAAAAAGAATTCATAATTCAACCCGTTCATCATGGAGCAAATTACAATGCTGCAGAAAATTTTTAGTAATAGTTTCAGTTTTGGATTAGCATCACAACCTTCTGCGAGCAACCTAACAACATGTTTTCACAGCAGGGTATCTTATCTCATGCTTTTAGCGTGCAAAACAATAAATTAAAATATTGGACAGTGGGCTCTAGAGCCTCCGATCATATGACAGTAGATATCAATGTCTTAAAAAATTATAACATTTGTACAAGTCACTTTGCAATTTGAATAGCTGATGGTTTATTCTCACTAGTAGCAGGAACTGGATTAGTAGAATTGACAAAAGATAATCATCTCTATTTATTTATGTTCCAGACTTAAACAACAACCTATATTCTCAATTAACAAACTAACTCGTGACCTAAAATATATGACTAAATTTTATTCCAATTGTTGTGATATTTAAGTTGTGAATTTGGTGAAGATAGTTGACAATGATGACATGTATGGTGGTCTATACTTGCTCAAAGAAAATAATTGCATCAACAGGTAATGTCATCCATGAAATTGTATTTATGAGCCAAGTTCAAATTCTGTCAATGTAGTTTCAGTTGAAAGTCAAATCATGTTGAGTCATTATTGGTTTGATTATTCAAATTTTGCTCACATGAAAAAAATATTTCCAATTTTATTACTAAAAAATTAATTTTTATCAATATGAAATTTGTCCACTTACAAAATATATCAGATATGTATACTCTAAATCACAATACAAGCCTTCACATTATTTTTCTTTAATTCAAAGTGATATCTAGAGACCCACACAAGTAAATAATATAAGTGTGGCACGGTGATTTATATCATTCATAGATCACATAAAAATAACATGAAAATTTCTTATGAACATCATATTTCAATCATTTCATTCAACGGTCCTCACTCAATTCCTAAGCAAAATTTAAATTCATAAAACCAATAATGTTAAGAAATATTCTAATTTTTTTGTTAGTTTTTATCTTTTCAATAATTGTATTATTCATAAGTTTTGTTGTATGGATACTCAACAGAATGAATCGCTGAAAGAAAAAATAGATACTTACTCAAGGTGGCTCATACCATTATGCTATTTAATCGCGCACCTAAGTATTTTTAGGGAAAAACCATGCTCACAAACACGTACATATCTCATCAATAAGATGTTTAGTTGATTTCTAAAATTTTAAATTCTCCGTAATTTTCTGCCTTTATTTACATTCATAAAAAAAAATGCATCAAATTTGATCCTGAGTCTTTTAAATGCATATTCCTTTGTTACTCCAATAAAGAAATGATACAAATGTTAATCTTCAACCACTAGAAAAATATCCAACTCTATGGATATCACCTTCTTTTGTGAAGAAATCTTATTTTCCCAATTCTGAAATTTAGTGTTAGAATTCTAGGGAGTATTTGATTTGAGATTTTTTTCAAGATATTTTGGCCAATTTTCCTTTAATTGAACCAAATTTTGTCCCTCAACTAGCTCCACTTGAAGAACCAAATTATGTCACTAAAACTGTTCCAATTGTCTCTACTCCACCTCAACGTAACACGAATAATCATGAGTTTTTTGTGTGTAAACTAGAAAAAGGACCATTGAGTATGTAGACCTAAGACAATCAAGAACCATAATCAAGTCCTGATAATAATAATATTGGCACTGATTCTTCAACTTATGACTCTCTTGCACCGATGGTTGATGACTTTAATCAACCAATTGCACATATGAAAGATATCCGAGGTAGTACCAGTCATCCAATTGAAAGATATGCAGCTTATAGGAATTTGCTACCATCTTATGGGGTTTTTGTCACAGAGCTTAGTAGTGTGTAGGTTCCCAACTCTATCTAAGTGGCTCTAAAGGTTCCAACATTAAAATAGACACTTGAGGAAGAAATTTGTGCTCTAGAGAAGTATAGCACATGGACACCTACAAAGTTATCTTATAAAAAAAACTTTTTAGGTTGCAAATAGATATTCACGGTTAAATATAAAACAGATGAAAGTGTAGAGAGATTCAAAGCCAGAGTAGTTGCCAAGGGTTTTATGTGTTCATACAGGATTGACTACCAGGAAACCTTTGCACCTATTGCCAAACTTAATGTGGTTCGGGTTCTACTCTCAATGTGGTTCGGGTTCTACTCTCTTCTGTAGAATTAAGATTGACCTTATACCAACTTAATGTCAAAAATGCCTTCTTGAATGACGACCTTAATGAAGAAGTATCGAGCTTGGCAAATTGGTTGAATAACATGTTTGTTTGCAAATTGAAGAAGTCATTATATGACTTGAAGCAATCTTCTTGTACTTATTTTGACTGGTTTGCTAGAACAATGATTACAAACGACTACCATTAGTGTCAATCCGATCATAGTACCATTTGTTAAATCCAATCCTAAAGGCAAAATCGATACTGTCATAATATATGTAGATGATATCTTCTTGACATGTAATAATTCAAAGAAAATTATCAGACTAAGAAAGGATGCTTGCAACAGAATTGAGATTAACAACTTTGGGACCTTTCAATATTTATTGGGAATGGAGATGGCTTGGTGTAAGGAGGGAATTGCCATATCCCAAAAGAAGTTCATTTTAGACATGCTAAGTGAGTGTAAACCTGTTGACACATTCATGCTTCCAATGAAAGTCTGAACA